TAGCTTGTATATAAAAAAAAAAAAAAGTACAAGGTTATTAGCAGTTGGCTTTTTTCCAGGTGGTCTAAGGAAAAAGAGACATGTGAAGCTCATTGAATATTAAAAATCTGATCCATAAATGTCATTCATTGTCATTATGTACCATAAAAAACTTCATAGATTTTTTTTGTCTCTTGATATGAGGTATGCATCAAACAGTGATGCTTTGGTTATTAATAACATAGTGAAACAGAACATTATGTCTGACTACAAGGAGTGATGGTATGTGGTGTCTTTGGGGATTTTGTCACAGATTTGAGTCCAGGCTGTTTTGGTAAGTGACTGACATCAGGTAATGCGTGATGCTTTTCAGAAAGGAGCAACAAAAGAAGCCCTTTTCCCTTGGCTGTTCTTGCATGGGTAATATTTCCCACTTGCAGTAGATTTTGATGGCCACACCACATTGCTCTCCACACAGCTCAGTAGCTTTTGTAGCATTCAGTACACTACAAAATTCAAAGGCTGCCCTTGTGCATTCTGGAAGTCATTTTTTTGGAGTCACTGTCAAGGAGCATGCATCTGCTGGATTCCAACTATGTGGCCCCCTTCAAATAATTTTATCTAGCGATCCTTAAGGACTATAGCTAAGTTCATAAACCACGTGATTTGTTTTCCAGTTGCTGCCAGCTGAAATTTTACAAAGCATCCTCCATGTGGTCTGGGTCACTTTAAGCTTGAGCCTAAAGTCACTTAAGTCCCGATTTGTAGCCACGAGATCTGCAGGTGTTGAGCAACTATTAAGAATAGGTTGGATATGCCTCATGTTAGACACCTCAAAAATAAAAAGCCATAGGACTACTGCCTCTTTCTGAAAACTTTGGCTTAGTGCCTACAGCCATTTTCAGCATGAAGGGAAGATGACATTGCTGCAGATTTTTCTGTAAGGAACTAGCAAGGTGAATATGCAACAAGGAGGAAATTGCTGAGGGATCCATCTTGCAGTTGCAGAATCTATTGAAAAAAGGAAAGGGGATACTTGAGCCAATGGAGTAATTTCTGAAGCCCTTTCATGTATGTGCTGCTCAGGCTGAAGTCTCAGCATTCCGTATCTCAAGATAGATGGTTGGCAAAGGCCAGACTTGGCTCCGAGTGATGCAGACCCATATCTAGCTCCCTTCCATAAGGGTTGCTGCACCTTTATCCCTGAGAACAGGATTTGGCCTTGTGAGTGGTTCTACCCACAGATGCAGCTGATGATACATGCTCAGAGGAAGAGGAGAATGCAAATTCCCTGTAGGGAGGCAACTGCCAGCCATGTAAACAAAGAAGCCTTCTGGGTGTGCAGCAGTCAGCCCACTTGAGCTGCTGTTTCCATGGTGTACCAGATGCTGTAAAATATGCTTTCTTCAGGGAAAGAAGCTTTTCATACTCCTGCATTATCTTGTTTGATAATGGACTGTCATCAGGTTGGTACCTCACTGTAGGGGGCACACGCAGCAAGTCCCCCCTGCCCCAACCCTTTACTAAGTTGTTCTTGGTGACAATTAATATTCTGCAGCTTCCAAACAAAGAAAAAGCTAAGTGATTTTTCTGACTTGGAACAGCATTACTGACTATGCTTTTACACATCATAGTTACAAGTGACTGTTTAATGTGCTACAGTTCCTCCTGATGCACATGGTGTCAGCTCATAATACTATGCATAGTTTTGATTTTCAGTTTCTTTCTGTTTTCCTAAAAAAACAGCATACCTGTGTTTCCATTTCCCCCTGATTATCCCCTCCCTAACCCCCACACTGCTTCATTATAGTTCCTGTCTTATGGCTGTTTAAGCCACTGGGTGGATGTCAGTAGGCACCATTTCTGAGTTTGCTTCCACTCCTCATGTTTTCCCACTGGGTGATCTTGAGTCAAAGGGAGGTCTCTACCTCCATTTTCTCGTAAAACATTGCTGCTGGTGGGCAGGTGCTTAATTATCCTGTTGGTATTAAGTACAAGTGCAATGATAGACCTGGACAAACCTGCAATAATAAGCTTTGGAGCAGATCAACCTCTGCTAGTGTAAGTAAGTTACCAAAACCACTTATGAAACTTGCTGTGCTTCAGATATGACTCATAGGAAGAGGTTGATGTTTTCATGTCTACTGGAAGCTGTGTTCAGGGATGATGCTGCAAAACTAGCAGACCTGTGTGGACATGGCATATCCCCTCACTGTGTACTGAGACCATCACAGGTTCATTGGCCTTCCTTATGGCTATTGAGGAGAAAAACAAGTACCTTCATGTGATCTCAGCCTCCTCCAGCTGAAAGATATGCCTTGGGTTGTAAGGGATGCACTCATATGTTCCCTCTGCCTCGCCAGTGCTCCAACCATTGCAGCCTCGCAGGGCTCTGCATGTGCTGTTTGCTTGTGCTTCCCAGGCAGCCTGACAGACCTGCTCCAGGCAGGTGCCCTACGTGCCTGGGGAGGGGGCCAGGATAGCAGTGGGTCGTGGGGGTGGGTAGCAGAGGCAGGCAGTTATGTATGTGTGTGCAGTGGTCCAGGACGAGAGAGTGTCCTGGAGTGTAGAGATCAAGCACTTTTTTATTCCCAAGGATGCTTTCTCACAATTTTTTCCATATACTTTTCAACTCCTTCCCTCCCCCCATCCTGCAGGCTTGTACTTCTCACTTTAGGGAAGAAAAACTAAGTGTGGTTAATTTTAAGCCAATGCAATTATTTAGGAGACCTGGAGGTGGAAAACCAGTTATCGGTTAACAGGCCTGATTTGAAATGTGTTCTGCCTGACCCCTCTACTCTAGTGAGCCAGGAGCAGTGCTTCCAAGAAGCCGGCTTTCTGGAAGGCTTTTTCACTGAATCATTTAAAGCCTAGGCTTCTTCTAAATGTTAATATCCTGCTGGCTGGCTGGAATGCAGCTGCTGGATACAGCAAGTGCAATACCCATGTGTGTGCTTACAATCCAAAGCAAAACTTAGAAGGCAAGGCTCAGGCTGTAGTTTGGGATGTCTTCACTGAAGGCTTGGGCTAGGAGGAAAGTGAAGTGGAGGACAGACCTGATCTGGCATCGTCTCACAAGACTGGAAGTCCCTCTGCCCCGTGCAGATGATGCCACTGTGATACAGTAGTGTTTGCACCCCGGGTTCCACTCTGCCCAGTAACCTTGAGCAGTGCCCTGTGTCATGCTGGTGCCTCAGTGTGGCTGTAAATCCACCAGCCTGGTTTGGGCAGGTTGGAGTCGCTCTCCCAGGCAAAGCGGTCAGAGAGCAGCGGCGAGCTGAGCCCGCTTTATGCAGTCGTAGATGGCTGCTTGGAGCATAGTGCCCCAAGATTCCCCCTTGCATCAGCAGGGGAAGGCAGTAGGCAACCTTTGTAATGCTGAAATCATAACAGTTGCAGGCTGAAATCCTTCTGCTGCTCGAGTATCGCTGTGGCAAAATGCAGGTCGGTGTGAATGCATATGTACCTCCTCCCCTCCCTCGGTGTCTGCAGATAAAAGCCTTTTTGAGTTAGCTGTATGTATTTGTGGTACCACAAAGGCTTTGTCCACCTTAGCTTTTGTGTGCTGCTGTATGAGGCTTCTCTGTTTACCTTAGTAGTAAAGTAATTTGCAGGTGAGAACATATATATTTTTTCAGGGAATCATCTAAACCACCTTTTCATAATTCTTTAGTGTGTTTTCTTACACTCTGTCCAGTGCTTTAGCTTTTTGTAGCTTAAGGACAACCTAAGTTCTTGCCTTAACCTAGAGACATATTGTCCTGTAGAATAAACATATTGCAAGTCCAGGATTAAAAAAAACCCCTCAACCCCTCACCCCCCCCAAACATTAAACCCCTCCCCCCCACCCCAGATCCCAAACCCACAACTGTATTAAGAATAAAAACACTTGAAAGGCTCTGTAAGAGGATGACTGTAGGTGGTGGCACCTTTCTTAATTTGGGTGATAAGTAGGATAACTACTTTTGATTACCAGATTTTATTTTGCTTAGAGTGGTAAAATGCTCCCAAAGTATACACACATGACATGGTCTTGTTTATTTATGTCTGTGGTTAATGTATTTACAATAGTTCATCTTGTTCTAACTAATATTCTGCAGTATGTCATAAAAAATAAGAAAGATTCAATATGAGGCATAAGCATTCTACTTTGTTAGCGAATTTCCTCTGAAGAATGAAGATAGATCACAAGTCTTTCATGAATTAATATAAATGCAGATTAATGCAGTCAGATATATTATTTTTCCATAGACAAGTTACAACCACAATGCAATGTGATTCTCAGCGCTATTAAAACAGATTTTATTTTTTTTTTTAAATATTCACCTTTGGGGATACATTTTGCACACCTCCTTTCAGATTAATCTGTTTGAATTAATTTAGGACACTAAAAATTTAGTATAGTGGCAGGTTAACTTATATAAATGGATACCAATTTTAATCAATTATGAAAATGAAACACAATAAAAATACTACAAGTTTGTTAAAATAAATCTGCTTACTATTCTGCAGTGTCCCAGGTGACTGCCTCATGCTAAACTCTAACTTTGCAGGTTTGGTGAGTTTTTTAAAATAATATAACTAAAACAAAACCAAGACAACCTTTCCACATTCCTTGTATTTCTCTTGTGTGTAGTGAGTAATCTACTTATGCTGATATTAATTTATGTCAGTTTTTTCTGTCCACACACACATCAGAAAAAAAATATGATCCCAATCATGAAACTAGTTTAAAAAAAAAATAAAATAATGAACTGGTAACATATTTTGGAGTGTAAAACTCTGATGAAAACATGCTTCATGGCTTTACAGGTCTTTTTGGGGGTTGAGATTTTTTTTCAGTCATCATTTCTAGACTTTAGTGTCACAGATGGACAATGAGAGAAAGGTGAGGTTATGAGTTAATACCATGGCTCACCTAGTTGAGGTTCAAAGCTTTTGTGCGAGTGTTAGCAACATTGTATAATAGAATTTCTGTTAAGTACAGTTCTAAAATATTTTTTTATTTTTCTTTTATCCAGGGCTTTTGGGAAAACCACACAAAACTCATAACGGAGTATGGACCTGTTTGTGGGTAAGCTTAGCAGTGCCATCAGCTTTCTTCTTTTCTAGCTCTTGCTGTTTGGGTTTGTTGGGCATGAGAGGAGAAAATGCCAAGATAAGACAGTCATCAAAACGGAGAGTATGGTGTTTCACTCTGGGGGACAGAGGTGAAGGCTGTTTGATTACGTGCAGAAAGTAACCTTACCTTATTTTAGTTCAGCATTTGGTGTTGGACTTCATTTTTCTCTTTCTAATTTTGATTATACACATACAGTTTAGTTTTTTTCAGAACTGTACAAAGCAACGTCTTCTGTATTCTCTTTTCATCTGCATATTCTTTATATTTATGGTGAACAATGGAAATAATAATTTAACGTCTTAAAAACCCCTCACCTAGTTTATGAAATAGTGTGAATTTGCTTCAGCTGTTGCTATCTATATTAATGCAAAATTCCTAAACTTAAAATACAATGAAGTACAGATTAGAAATGAGACATTCTTCTCTCTATAGCTCAGCTGTGCTATCTTAGCAGTTTATGAGGAGTAAAGAGGGTTTAAGCAGTATATCCCTTCATACAAGCCCGTCCACATTTCTGTGAATGCAATTTCTCTTCCAAGAACTACTTTCCAGTTGTTATAATTTTAAGTGGAAATGCAGTTATTTCATGGTAGCTTTTATTGTTGTGGTCAATTGGTGTTCCTAGCATAGCTATTATTTCAATGCATTAATATCAAGCAATATCCATAAAGTACAGACAGTGTCAGTATTTTTTTTTCCTGTGTTCTGCAAGGGGTTTAAAAACTTGTAAGAGAACATATATGAACGTGTGTGCTCGTGTTTGATCATAAATGATATAAATATGCTTTGTATGCTCTTCCAGCAAAAAGGTTCTATCAGAACAAAGTCAGACTCGGGCATATGAAGCATTTGATACTCCAGTCACAGTCGCCTTGTGGCATTTATGCTCAGCCCTAAGGACAAAGTGCTGCAAGAAGTGATGGAAATAATGAATTCCAAGGGTTAGGTACTGGTCTAAAATGAAATAATACAGTGTCTTGGCTGGCCAGGAATGAAGAAAGATATTCATTAACGCTGTGGCAATTTGTATGTTGTGTAACAAATGGAAAATGACTGAGGCTTACTATCTCCGTGACCTTTGGTGTGATGCCCTTAAATGACAATAATGTAAAAACACTGGCATTCATTCCTCAATGTATTTCCCTCCTTATTAATATCATGCCTATTTCTTTCTAAACTGAATTTGAGACAAGTTTCTATGTAGTCATCTGTCTGCTTACTCGGCCAGTCAGAGGCTATGCCATTGGAGGAAGAGATGTGTAATTACAGTGTATGAGTGGATAGATAGAAAGTTTCATTTTTCCACTCTACCCACAGCTGGGGAATGAAACCTCTGTGAGACTTGCATGGGCTGCAAGGTTGGATGATGGTGGTAATGGTCAGCCAGGACAGTTCTGCCTCTTTGGGATTCCCTGGATAGGAGGAGTGAGCATAACTCATACCTAGCCATTTATTGTGTGCATTAAAAACTTAATTTGTGAGAGATCTAGAAGGCTGGCAGAGAATAACTGCTGCTTTTTGATATCTCTCAGGAAAACAAAGCTGGGCTCAAATATTACTGTGCTCAAGGTAAGCTTTATTTGTAGTTGAAGAAGGGTGTTTTAAAACCTGGCTTGCGAGCTGCTGTTCAGTAGGTGTGGCATGTGTCTGGGGATATTTATCACGCTCTTGTCAATTAAAGAAATTCCTTCTCCTTTCCTATACGTCTTCTATGGGATTCTTTCTGTGATTCTTTGAAATAGGCAATAAATGGTAGGTGTGTTTATGTGTATGGTAGCAGTAAAGTATTGGATCTGGCAGTTGGAAGAAGATGAGGCATTTTGCTTTTTCCAGATTGAAAACTGCTTTCCAATAAGCATAAAGAGCAATGATCTTTATTTCTACAGTGGTGAAGTGAGTTGAATACAAATCTTTGGAACTGAAGCCTTTTTTTCTTTCTAAGGTCACTTGAATAGTCTGAATGATACCATCACAACTGTTTTCTTTTGTGTGTGAATTGGTTTCCTTGACAACAGGATGTCAAATCAACTTTTCAGCTTTAATCAAGTCAAAACAATATATCCCTTCCATTCCAAAAGGCCTCAAGTCATAGAGAATTATTTCAAGTAAGGCTTTGTAGGTCACAAAAGCATTTTTTTCTTCGCTCCTGTGTGCGGATCCAAGGGAGAGGTGATGGTATTACTCTTTTATAGAGAGAGACAATGCAAATAGTCTTCAGTTGTGAATGTGTGCTGTGAAAACTGTCTGTTTTCATACAGAGATGGCCCAAGATGGAGGCCAAGGTGGAAACAAACAGTTCTGATTTGGTGCAAAAGCACAGTTGGAGGGAGCATTTCTGTTCAACAGGGGAATCCAAGCCACTGACGTGACTTTTGAAAAGGTCCTGCAACAGAGTGGTAGTTTTTTGTTCAGCTATAGTTTGATGTATCTTCAATAAAAATACCTCCTCTAAAATATGTGTGCTAAAAATAAAAAGAGAAGAATATCCGATTTGGAAAGCAATATATTGATACATGTTAAGATTTGTGTTGAATGTTGTCCTTTTTATGGTAGGATTTTTTCAGGAAAGTAGTCTTGATTTCTGTGGAAATGAGTGACTAATGTCACTTATTTTATGGATGAACTTTGATGTTTTGACACTTTATTTTCACCTGTACCACATCCAATTTTTCCATTTCAATTTTAGGTTATGGCTACTGATTAGAAATAGGTGTTAAAGGCAGACAGAGAAGCAAAGAGCTTCTGGGTTGAAGAGAAGAAATAAAGGGGGAGACTGTACTTTATGGAATCAGAAAAGCAGCTGCTACAACACGAACAGAGCTGTAGAGGCAGTGAGTTAATTTTACTTTATATACACACTTCGTATGCATTTGACCACTCTACTGCAATGGCATCATTATGACTTTACAGCACTGTAAGCATCTATGGCTGATTAAGAGTTGGAGAATAGTGTCAAAATAAGTAATATAATGTTGGCCCAACATCACACCACCGGTGAAGGAACAGAAAATATGATACAGCCCCAAGTGGACAGGTGGTTGCCTCTGGGATGAATGAACCTATTCTGCTTTTGACTGTAACAATGCATTTGGATGTGGGTAAGAGTGTAAGAGTTCATAATGTAGACCTCAGTGTGTATAAAAGTAAGAACAGAAGATTAAAATTCAGTGCAACTTGTAGGGTGACCCTCTTTCTTCATATCCTTCTGCACCTGAAACAGCTTGAAACAGGTCAAACTCTATTCTTACTTTTCCTTCTCTTGAACTCTCAACTTCAACCTGCTGTGAGAAGTCTGACCATCTATGTAGTAGAATAAGTACTAAGGAGGACAAGAACAAAGTAAGGTAGAGACAAAGAGATAGGTCTAGAAGTAACAAGAGGCTGGAGTTTGGATTAAATCACCTCTAAAAAGCAGAAGACAATTGGAGCATTTGAGCCCAGGGTTGTCAGGCTGTGAACTGGCAAAAAGAGTCAATGTGCTCGAAATCGGCATTTTCTCATGAGGGGAGGAAATAACAAGAATGTTTCTGACAAAATCCTGCTGTAAGCCATTCTTGGTCCCTAATAAAATCACCAGCAGAAAAGTGCATCTACCCAAATTGAGTCTCTGCTGGGCTCCAGCTTAAGTGTCTCAGGATCAGCACAGTACCACAGAAAGCATGTCGAGGTGCAGGTGTAGAAATTGGTGTGTGCGTGCACTCCTGAAAACACTCCTTATGAAAACACAGATGTGAATGGAGTTCTGTTTCCATATAAAGAGTATCTTGTTTTGCAGTGATTTACTTCAGCATGTTTATAAGCAACTTAAAATAGGACAGGTGATTTTTCTTAAGATGTCTATGGAAATACTCAACGTCTGATCTGTGGGTGGTGGGTTTTTTCTCCTTGAAGATTCCCTAATATTCCTTAACTGATTTCCTAATAAGTTGTTACTGGAACCAAGATCAAGCCTGGTTACTTAAATGGTTGGCTGGTTTAAAGGATTAGGGTAGATCATGGAGCCAGTCACTAACTTGAAATGTGTCCAGGGTCGAGTTGTGATTGTAAGCTACGCTGACAGCTGACAGCTTTTTAGAAGTCTATGCAGCCAGAGTTGGTTCTATCTTAATGCTTGAATTCTCCTCTCTCAAAAAAAAAAGTTGCTGCAGATGACAGTAGTTAGCATTTCTGCCGATGAGTCCGTAATCAAACAGTTGCGGACAAGAGACAGGATTTTCTCGCTGCTGCTCCTGGCCTCTGTATCAGGGCTGAGGCACACTAGTTAGTCGCTGTGAGGTTTGGGGCTTTCCCCTTTTGTGGACAGAAGAGGGACATGTGCTTTTGGGATTTGGGCATCTGGAACTTTTCTCAAAGCCTTGTCCTTCCTCAGCCCTCCCCAAACACCTCAGGAAAAGCCTAAGGTTGGATAGGGGCAGGATCTCCTCCTGCAGGAAACAGCTGATGCCTTCACCATGCAGTTAATTTACCCGAAGAAACAGTGTATTTATTACTATTTTAGTTTCAGTTTTTCTTTTTTTATTTTTTTTTTCCTTTTTTTTAACCTCTTTTTCTAGCCTTACTCTGTGTTATGTGGAAAGAGTAATCCCAGGACAGGTATTCTCATCTTTGTCTCTGAAGGCTCATGTAAAGAAATAATTTAGTTTTATGAACCAATCTTACCCTTTTTGATTTCCACTTTTACACTGGGGGCCTAATGGACTTACTGCCTCTCCTGTGGTCCTTCCTTTATTTTGATATTTTAAACAATTTACTTTTCATATTTCAGCTAGAGAAAATCATGCCTGGGCAAGGATGGGGGGAGGGAAGAAAAACAGTCTTCCAATTTCTGATCTATAGCTCTTAATAATCTCTGTTTCACATTTAAACTGGTAAAGATTTTTGGTAGCTTCACTTCTACTGCATTTTTGTTTTCTTAGAGAGTGATATACTTTTATGGCCAGAGCCCATTCTTT